ATCAATATCGTGTGGTGTTTAATTAACAGTAATTTGGCTATCATTTGGTTCTTCGAGATTAGAATTGATTGCATTGTTTTGGTAATATTTCGAATCGATTGGTGTTTAGTAAACATCTCCAATGTAAAGCAAGTTTTTTAAACTGTATTTTCTGTCTCACTTTCGTCATCTGTAGTTTCACAATATATGTGATTTAACTGTAATTCCGAGTTTGCTGTTTTGTCAATACCGGGAGCGTCTGGTTGGGTGTTTTCTGTTGACTGCACTTGATTAATTTGTCTTGGATGTTTTTGTGTACTACCTCTGTAGTTTTGACTTCAAGAATTTGAATATTGAGGATTGTTTCTATGGGGTGATGGAGAATAGTTCCTATGTCTAATTGGGTAGTTTTTATTTCGATTCCTAGAGTTATCTGGTAACTGACTTATGTTTTGTTTTGTAATATGGTCTAATGTTAGCTTAGTTTCGTGATCTCCTAATAGAATAAATTCGGTTCCTACCGTTTGAATAATTTTGATTTTGATTGTATGATGAATTTCGGTCTCTAGAACGGTCTCTAGAATACTATCTATCGAACGGTCTCTCGAACGGTCTCTAGAATAGTATCTGTTTCGACAGTTTGAATAAGAACGATTACCATTATAGGTCGAGTAATTACTTCTATTTGAGTTTGATCTTGAGTAATCATTGCGATATTGATTATTTTAACTATTTGATCTTCTATATCTGTTTTGTGAATAACTTTATGAACTTCTTCAGTCCCGACGAGATTTTCCGCGAATTTTGTTTCGATAAGGAGATTGTGATCTGTAATTGTTGTAGCTATCTGGAAGTAGTTTTTCTGAGCTGTTTTATCTTTGAATGTTTTTCTTCGGTAGATTTTGATATTTTCATGTATTGCTAAAAAAAACTTATTTGGTTTTCTGTGTTTTTGTGGTTTGTTTTAGTTATCCTGTTGTTTTTGTCTGCATTCAGCAATGCTTTGTCCATATCTACGACAATAGTTCCACCATTTTTTGAATGATTGTTTAAATTTGAAATTTGAATTCTTTCATAGAAGTTTATTATCCGGGTGATTTTTTCTGCTAACTCATTATCAGAGTCATGATCAATATTGATTTTTGAAGTTGTTGTCTGGATAATGTTTACTTATTGTAGTTTTAAATTTTATGTTTCTTCTAATTTCATAGTAACATCAGCTTGTTCTAGCTCATCTATTAGATTTCGCAAAACTATGTCAGGTTCTCGAGTTGATGATGGATGTGATGCTCTCCTTTTTATTGCAATGATGCCTAGTTGTGGTGTTGGAGTCATCCTTAAAATTTCAGTTATTTTTGTATTTTTGTAGTCCAGTCATGCGTAATGAGAGAGTATGCTTTTCCTTTTAACGTTTCAATTGTTACTGCGAGTTGTTTTAATGTCTCGTTGGGGAGTCTACGGATTTTGTTACATCGGACTCTTTGGTGTTGTTCATTTATTTCAGAGTCAAACATTTTTGAAAAATCTTGTGTCAATCTTTTTCTTTCTGAGTTAATGTCTATAAGTTAAACTGAAAACCTTTTTTGAGCTGCAACATCAAGTGTAGTTTGGATTGGAGTTGCACGTCTTTGTATCCAATTTTGATGGAGTGGTGTATTTGGTGGTTCTGGGCCTAAATTTTAAATTTACTGTGACTGCACTTAAATAATCTTCTACTGAGTATTCAGCGTCTGTTCCTTTGAATACCGTGAGTAGTTTTTTCGAAGATATGGATGATCCATCCTTAAAGTGTGGATTCATTGTCATTCGAATTGATTTTGCTGTTTTTGGTATTTGTGTAAAAATTGTAAGTTGGGTTTTTGTAATTTCGTATTGTTGTAGATAATATGGTAATGGAATTTCATTCGCATTTGATTAGGTTGATAACCTTTTGCGTTTATAGGATTTTGTTTTTGTAAACTATTTTTATATCCTGCTGTTTTTTGTCTTTGAGGGAAAGGTTTTCTTGGTTGTCGTGTTTGTTCAGAATGTGAATAAGGTTCAAAAATAGCAGGTTGGTAAATATTATCTGGTTGATCAGTATTCCAGTTGTTATTTTGTAGATGAATATAATGTTGTTGATGCTAATTCAAATAGTCTTCAACTACTGAATAGTGTGGCTGTTTTCTTCTAAATTGTTCCTTTGTTATATTTTTGTTTCTTTGAAAAAATGAATAAATTTCACTACGACCTGTTGTAGTTTGTTGTTGGTCAATAGAGAAAAATGAGTGGAGTGCTTGTTTTGGCATCTGTTGGTTGTATTATTGTTTTTGTGATTGATTTTGATGGCGTGTGTGTGTGTGGGGGGGGGGGTTTGTTATTGGTCTGTTTATCTTGTTATTGGTAAAAAAAATTATAATTGTGGGTTGAAAAACCAATTTCCATTCAGAGGCTTCTGCTTGTTTCATTGTCGTGTTTTGTCTTTTGATCTCTATGTTTGGTAATCCATATGTGAATAATTTGGCATAACAGATAGTTTTACTGTTGGTTGGAAGGTTGTCTGTGGGAGGGGAGTATTTTCATTATGTGGTAATTTTTTTCAAGTGTAGGATGTAGAGATGCTTTGTTGTGTTGTTGTAGGCCTTGTTGCACTTATTTCCTTGTTAATAAAATGTGATGGGGTTTGATTACCTTGTTGTGTATGAGTTTTTGCTTCATTAAGGGTTTCTTGTCTGTTAGTAAATCATGAATTAAGACTAATTCCAGTTCTATCATTGAAAATTGTATTATAGTTTAAATGTGTTGCATCAATAGTAAGTGGAGTAACTCTTACACAATCTGTGTGTACAGAAACAGTAGTATTTGCAGCACTTGAAACGTCAGTTGTATTCTTTTGAGAACTCTAGATCTATGTCATCTGTTTTATATTTGATGCGGTGTTTGACTTGGATGTGATGGTAAAATTTCAATAGTGAATATTTCGTAATATGAAGTTATACTACAGATCACTTTTTTATAGTGATCAAGTATTTGTCTTTTAATTCGTATTTCGGGAAATCCTGTGTGCATGGAATGTTTCCTTTTTTGAATAAAATTGCAATTAAGTTCTGACAAAATTGTACTTGTCCTCGAGCGGGATCACTGAGTGGATGAATAATAAAAAGAAGTATAGAGTCAGCATCAAAGTTTTTGTCGTTTTGCATCAATTTTTCATCTTAAAGCTGTTAATGTGTATTTTTCAATATGTCTTATTGGCTGATTCTAATTATATAGTCGTACCGGTTTAATGATGTATGATTTTTTTTATACTGCGTTTGCTTTTTTTGATGATGGTGATGTGGATTCTGAGTCAGAGAAATTTTGCTGTTGTTCTATTGGATTTTTTTATATATCTAATCTTTTAGGTCAGGAAGCTCTTATATTGTAGTTGTGTCTGATTCCGAAACTGCGTTACGTGTTTTTGAAAAGATTCGTTTTAAAATTTATTTTGTTTTGCTACCATTGTCTTTTTTCGTGTTTGTATTTTCGATCTAATATGACCTTACGTTTGTTTCAGTGGTGTAATTACGAGATCGTACCTTTCGTCTTTAATTAAAGAACTGTTTATTGTTAAGTTTAAGAAAAAAATATAGATTTAAAATTAATTTAAGGGTTAAAATTTTGAATCATCTTAGTTTTTGATCAAATTTGGATATGTTTTAGGCGATGAAGCGGATATGATGAAAGAATGGTTTCTTGAGAAGGAAGAAATTTTCTTATAAATTTGATAAAACTAACGTTAAAATTTCCTACTAATTAATTTGTATTTTTTAGTTAACAAAATTTTAAAATTTAATTTTACAAATGCTTTCAAAATTAAAGTACTGCAGAGTTTGAAAAAAATGACCTGTGTAATTTTTATCATTCGTTAATATCGTTTTATAATATAGTTATAAAGCACCAAGTAGGTTTTTGAAGAAGTGTAGTGTTTTGGTCCGTCATTCAATCGACGTTCACGCCGTGATCTTGTTCTTCGTTCAATACCTGGTATTTCTCGTATTGTTTGAAATATTGGCGTCGATTCATTGACACGTAGAGACATGTCAAATAAATTGTCTATTCCATCCAACATTTTGCAATTTTGCAATTTTGCAGTTTTGGCCTTTTTTCAACTCTAATTTGCTAAATCTAAGTTAGTCAAGGTCTTGTTCGAGACTTTTGGTCGCACCGGATGAGTTTATGCCAGAGGTAGCATACTCATAGAGTAATTTCACATAAGGAACACCGTCACCCTATCTTATTTTCGGCCGGATAGGTTTGTGCAACTTCTTAGTCTAATACCAATCTTAATCTTACTCTTACATCTCCTAGTCTCAATAGATCAAGAGTATACTGGTTTTTGCGAGCTAGTCTTTGAGCTTGTCCAAAAGGAGAACAACTGTAGTCTAAGATTTATTAAAATTGTTCTGGTGCTGAAACTACAAGTAGTTTCAGCACTACAAATAATTGTCAATGATAGTGATGGAATATGATTGGTTAGTTAGTAATATTTTAGGGATAGTTTTATCAATAAAATAATTGGTTTATAAATACTAGTCCAGAACTGGTTCCAGAAGTAATGAAACATTTCAATGTAACTTTCACGCTAAAATCTTCAATATTTCAACACAGAGATTATGAAATTTGAGCGTAGAATAATGAAAAAATGCTAGCCATACAATTCCAAGAATGAAAAATAGTAGTCATTCTATTTTGATTCGATTCTTTTCTATGGAATTGCGTGATAAGCCTTTTCCATAACTAAAATGTGTTACGAGCTTTTTTGTCAAACCAGGCCTTGAGAGTTCCTAGCTGTGAACTATTTAAAAAGTGCAAAACTAGTGCAGACGACTTAGGCTACAGTGTTCACTGAATTGCTACGGATAACTTCCTGGTGCGTTGGTTTTGTTTTTAAAGATGATAGCCTACAAAGCTATTCATAAATTGTCCCACTGTGGTTTTATGGGTTGACTTGGTCTGTAAAAGTTGGCCAATTGTTTAGTTAAAGGGTATTTGAGTGGTACCTTGATCTCGTCTGTCTCGTCGTTCAGTTTGGCCACTAGAATTGGCACTAGGTTCCCATCCACCACACCCTGTGCCCCTATGGCCAACTCGGCCACCATCTCAATCGCCTGGTGGGCGAATTTCCTCACCACGTCACTCGAGTCCTCAAACAGCTCCGCAATCGGACCAATCACGTCCTCCTCCAGGTATGCATTGCGACCCACCGAGTGACCTAGTGAAAAGTCCACAATTGCATGAGACAGTTTTTGGATAAAGCAAAAGGTAATTTCAACTGTTTGTTTGATGTGAGCTTGTTTAGCTGATGAGCTAATTTTTGTTCTGAAACCTTTTCTAAATTGGAACCCAGGCTTTTTTCAAGTTAACAACTTGTCTAACCGAATCAATGAATCGTCTGACAGCTTGATTCACTTTCAATTAAAACTCAACGACTGATCATGCTCATTTGCCGCTCTTGCTTTACTTGAATCAGATGATTAGCTCGGGAACGGCCAGGACCTACACTGTTTGAAAATGCAAATATTTTTGCCTTTATATTTTGCATACTTATTTTAGAATTTGCTGGACGAAGTGCTATCTTAACTGCCGTTTGAAACGCATGTTGATTAAGTTGAGTTCATGGTTTCATTTAAAAACAAGTATTATTTCATGATAGTGCTTATGATTACACTTGTGAGAACAAGCGTCATGTAGCCGGAACTAGACTTTTTCCCATAAAAAAAAACATTTTCTTACACCTTCTTCTTTTGTCACTTCTTCTCTT